CCAGAATCCCAAAATTCCTGCTGGAATTGTGAAATTCCCCACCAGAATCCCAAAATTCCCGCTGGAATCGTGAAATTCCCCACTAGAATCCCAAAATTCCCGCCAGAATCCCACAATTTCCTGCCAGAATCCCAAAATTCCCGCTGGAATCGTGAAATTCCCCACCAGAATCCCAAAATTCCCGCCGGAATCGTGAATTTCCCCACCAGAATCATGAAATTCCCGCTGGAATCGTGAAGTTCCCCACCAGAATCCCAAAAATCCCGCCAGAATCCCACAATTTCCTGCCAGAATCCCAAAATCCTCGCTGGAATCCCGTCTGCGACCCCAGGAAAACCAAATTTTCCATGTGAGATCCGCCAGCGCTCCAAAAAATCCTGTTTCCCAACTCCCTTTTAGATATCGAGGAATATTTCGGGAGCGGGGAAGGGAAACCGGGATAAACGAGCGCAGGGAATATCCCGCTTAATCCAGGATAAAATTCCGTCCCTCCCGATTTTCCCAACGCGTTTGGGAACGCTGGGGAGGTTTGTTTTTAATTCCACAGCTCCGGGAATTGATGGGAATTTTCCTTCTGTGGGAAACACGAGCGAAACCTCGGCGGGGCTGAGTTTGGAGGTTCAAAGCGGCCGCTTTTGGGGGTTTTTTTTTGGGATTTGGGAATTTTTTTTCCCAGCCAGAAGAGCAGGACAAGTGAGGCTGCACGAGCCAAGAGGGAAAATCTTCCCATGGGAAGCAAAGATGGATCCGAGGCACAGAAATCCCAAAGGATCAACCCCAAAGGGGAGGTTTGGGGTTCTTTTTTTTGGGGTTGATCCTAAAGAAACGGTTCCAGCTTGGAGCTGAGCCGGGAATGCCGCAGAGCTGGAATTCAAGGCTGGATTTGATGATCCGGGAGGTCTCTCCTGACTAAAATGATTCTGATTTTGGGATTGTGAGGCCGCTCAATGTCCTGGCAGCCCCCGGCTCGGCGCTCCCGCGGGGATTTCAGGGATCTGGAGGGAATTCCCAGCTCCCAGGAATTTCCTGGAGCTCCGTCCCGGGCAGGGGCTGAGCTGGAGCAGGGAAAGCAGAGCCCGGAGCAAAACCTTCACCTACCTCACCTGCCCTGGGGCGACCCCTCAGCTCCTAAACCACCCCAAAAATCCAGGAAAAGCCCAATTAGCAGCTCCAAGCACTAATTAGAGTGGAACACCCTTCAGGCCAGGCCTTCAGCGCTCAGCCCTCAAACCCAGCCGCCGCTTTCCCGGGATTTCCATTCCCAAAGGTCCCAGGAGGCGATTCCCTGTCCAAGATCCGCGTTCCTGCTGCCACACCCGGAGCACAAACCCCGCCGGGCTCTGGGGCCGTGACTCAGCCCCGGACAGGAGAGTTTGTTCCTCCCCTGGGCTCATCCCGGGGTGCTTTCCCCCCTTCCCGGCTCCTGGGGGATGGATCGAGCTGAATCCCGAGGTTTTGGGGGTTCTTGGAAGTTCCAGGCTGTTCTGGAGGGTTGAGGGTTCTTTCCGAGCCCTTCCCAGCGGGAGCTGCCGGTGGTGGCACCTCTGATCCGTGGGGGGAACTGAGCCAGCCCCATCCCAGAGCCTTTCCTCAAGGAATTCCCCAATCCCAGGAGGATCTGGCACAGCTGGAGGCAGATCCCTGTGATCCAGCGGGAAAGAACCCCAGCACCAGCACCGGGAGCAGCAGATCCCTGTGAGCCAAGAGGGAAAGAACCCCAATCCCAGCTCTGGGAGCAGATCCCTGTGATCAAGCATGGAAAGAACCCCAATCCCAAATCTGGGAACAGCAGCAGATCCCTGTGATCCAGCAGGAAAAGAACCCAAATCCCAGCACCAGGATCAGCAGATCCCTGTGATCCAGAGGGAAAGAACCCCAATCCCAGCTCTGGGAGCAGATCCCCGTGATCCAGGAGGGAAAGAACCCCAATCCCAGCACCAGGATCAGCAGATCCCTGTGATCCAGAGGGAAAGAGCCCCAACCCCAGGATCAGCAGATCCCTGTGATCCAGAGGGTAACGACCCCCACCCCCAGGCCCTGCTCCCCCCCCGGAGCATTCCCAGCGCATTC